TGAAATCTTAACATTTATGCAAATGAGACACCCTGATTTGCATAATTTATGTATGCAATTTATTATTTTTACACTTAGAATAAACAAGTATTCCATCCATCCCTGTGGCGCTACAGGCCATGTAGAGACATAACATGCCTCCCCACTTCCTTCAATTCAGACCTAACTAATGCTTTTCTTTTCCATGCTTTGATTCCAAGCTGCTGTAGATCTTTGTCCACATGATCCCTCTAAGCCTAGGTCTGTCTTTTATCTGTTTTCTCTGGGGTTTTGGTCATGTACCCTCTGTTATTGAGAATTCTTTCTAAGTTTCCTGCCCAGAGTAGCCTACCCTTTTTTTTATTTCTGCTACTATCAAGGGATCATGATATAGACCATACAATTCCTAGTTGGTTCATATTGTCTATTCATATTCATCCTTTGTTGTTCCATATATTTTCTGAATAATTTTTCTCTCCCATGTGCTTACTAGGGTTTCTGCTGTTTTTGTTAGGGTCCAAGTTTCACTTGCATATGTTACCACTGGTCTGAATACTGTTTTATAAATAGTTTTATTGGTTTTTCTTGTAATTTTTTTACTCTTGAGTATTTTCTAACAACTGAAATATGCCATGTTTCCAGCCAATATTCTTTCTTTTATTTCTGTTAGTAATTCGTTTCTTTATGTTAATTTTTCAGGTAAGTCCTAAAAAAAACAACATTTGATTGTGATTCAATGTGAAAACTGCATAAAATATTCCACTGGGGATGCCTATGTCTTTTTTGTATATTTGAAGTTCACATATTTGTTAAGCATTCATAGGGGTCACTGGTACAAAAAAAAAAAAATTGCTATAAAACGACAGAACACCGTAATCTATCAATGCAAGCCACAATTAACATGGTGAGATGGGCAATAAATGCGAGAAACAATCTGATTAGCTGGTACAAAGACCAGCCAGCCAATCTTGACACTTTATTGTGCTGATGGATCAGTCTTTTGGCCCAGCCTTCTGAAGAGGATTTAAGCATTTGACCAAAAAATTGTACTTATTTAAAGCACTTGACCAAAAAATTGTACTTATTTAAAGCACTTAATAAAAATCAAGAAAACTAAACCAGCTGGATGATGTATTGCCTAGCCAAAACAATGTTATTCATCACAATACTTTTACAAAATAAAAATAAGTGTAACAACCACTAAGGTATTCAAGCCATGCTAAGTTAACACGATCTCCATCTTACCTTTGATTGGCACTGTCTGGTGGGCTGCCCTCTTGCATGTAGTCACTGGAAACAATACATTATACAAAAATGGTAGAAATAAATATACAAAAACCTACAATTAATGAGTTTATTAACACATCCACAAAATGTTACAAATAAACGAATTTATAAACAAATATAGGAAGTGGTATTTTTTTAATATGGATAGTTTTAAGTTTACTTAGTATGTTCATTGGCAGTGCAAAAAGTCTTTTAAAAAATGGAATTTATCGTATCATGCTTGACCCTACTGGCTAACACAGACAGATGTTTCTATGAAATCAGATGTCTAACAAACACTACAAATCTGCTTGACATTCCAAATGCATAATATTAAAAGCCTCCAGCTACAAGAAAACCTCCATCAACGAATTGAAACCCGTAACACAAGTTATATATTCATAAAAATCATATCAATAAATGCCCCACTGCCCGTTGATGTATCAGAAGATGTAAAAACTTAATTCTGCAGTTATAAGATCTCTGAGAAACACTGGAAGCACAGCTCATGTATTCGCCTGCTTACCTCTTGTTTTTTTTTTTTAAAGCCATAACCTCCAAGCCCCTCGCCAAAGTGAGAAACAGACAATGCCAAATACTCTCACAGGGGCGGTAAAACAAGAAAGAAACAACATAACTGTGAGACAACTCTTAAAAGCCAAATGTAAAAAAAAAACGGCTTATCTGAAAAAGACTTTTTTAAATACCTGTCGTCCTCAGAGTCTTTGGAAGCCTTGTAATTAACATCGGTCTCGTCATCAGAGAAGTCTAAATTATCGATGTCACTTTCGTAGCCCTCCTTCTGTCGTTCCACCACTTCAATAAAGTCCAATTCAGCCAGGTACTCATCACCGTACTGTTTACCATCCTGAAGGTCGATATCATGGAAATATTCTAAACATTATACAAATAGTAAGTGCTTAAATCTTTATCTAAACATCATTACAAATCTGAAGTGTATAGAATCTTCATTTAAACATTATACAAACCTTAAAATGTTTGAAATCTATCTTCTACCACTGATTCCACATTTAAATTGAAGTTTTAGATTTTTGCATGTGTGCTGCACATATTTTTTAAATAGCACAAGCCCTCAGAATCATTAAACAAAACTAATTATTTAGGTAGATTTGTGCTGCAGTAGAAGTTAGGGTTGTTCATGTTTAATTTTTAAAAGAAATTTATTACAGTAAAAAAAAAATTTGATCCAACGCGCCATTACCTCGTTAGCACCCTTGTCAGTAAGCAGCTGGCCTGCATATATACATATAAAACTTCCCTTGGCAATGTCATCCAGACAGCGTAGACCCCAACCTCTGACAAGAGAAGACAACATGTTGTGGGATGAGACCTTTATACTTTATATATATCTTAAAGTCTAACAATATCTTAAATCCAAAAAAGCGTTTTTAAAGGACAGTAAGAGCCAGTCACAGAACCACTGTGTCTTTAAAATTAGAAACAGATAGACTGCACATCCTCAAATCCCCCCATACCCCAGAAAAGAAATCCGATTGCCCCAGCTAAATTTAGTTTAAGACTGTAAATAAAAATGTTTCAAATCTTGTGCAAAAAGACCCACACCCCCCAACTGTGTATATTTTTGGTCACAGAGGATGCTTGAAAAATTAAAAATACTGTAAAAGTACAGAGTGGATCAAAAAGTTGCTTGTACTTTAACCAAAACAACAATGATATTTTGCTACATTTAAACAAGGTTTTAAATAAGGTGCAGTTTGTTTTCCTCACATAAACTTACTTTTTTTCTGTCTTGAAGACTTGTAACCGTGTCCTCAAACCAAGCTGGGCAACTCTGTTGACACAACGTTTGTCACATTTGCATCTAGAATTGCATTCAACAATACTGTTGAGCACATGAAAAAAGAAAATGTTAAACACAACAACCAAGGTAAACAATAATTAAATAACACACTTTATGTGCTGTCCTTGGTGAAGTTTTATCTCCCCTGTATGTAATTCTGGACCATTTTAAAATCATTTTGACAATGTTAAAAACATAGCAGAGATTTATATATTTATTTATTTACTAAAAATGAACCTTCAAAATGAGGGGAAAAGATTATTTTCATCAAACTTTTAAAGATAAGATAAGATTCTTTTATTGATCCAAATAAATGGAAATTTTTTTTTTACAACAATTTACTTATTCATTTTATAAATACATATTTTAACCAAAAAACATTTTACAATTTTGACTGGTATATTTATTGTATGCAAGTAATACACCAGATAGAATTTATATGGAAAATAAAATAATAAGATTTTTTATGTTTTTGATGCCATATGGTATAAACAAAATTCAATTTTTACATAGCTGCAATGTCTTTTTCGCCTATTTGGTTTTTTAATTTCACCCACTTTCTTTCTGTTTTTCAGAGCTCTGTCTTCGATATTCTGATTCTTTTCTTTCATTTTTAGGTAGGATACATATAAATATATATATTATGTAAATTTAATTTATACTTATATCAATGTTATTTTTTGTTGTTTTACTGATGAAGGCATTACTTGAAATATTTGCATTCTGTGTAACTATTACTAAAGCTTAAATATATTGTTTTATTTACACAAATTTTTTGTGTCTCATTAATCTACTTGAAAGCTTTCTCAGTCTTACAATTTAAACACAAGACATCTCAAGTATTTCTCGAGCAAAAAAATCAGCCATCAATGAACTCCCTTAGAGATAATAAAGACTTAATAAGTGATCATTTATATTTAGTAACCGCTGGGGTAGCACTCTGGTAAAAATCGTACAGAAATGGGGAACAAAAACTTTTTTATATGTCATTCGGTCCAAACTTTAATAGAAGTTTTAATGACATTTTTTGCACTTTAGTTACTTTAAGCTGTGACGTAAGGTTTAAAAATTCACTTTTAAGAATTAACAGTGGTAGCTGGTGACTTAAATGAGTAGGGGTGCTGCAATTCCACACTGCTACACACAATCCTCCACTGGGGATAAATTACTTAATTAAAAACATGAGCAGAGGGAAATAAATTTAGCTTCAAACGCAGGGCGGGGGGAGCTTTCTATGAACACGCTACATACCTTAACAATAATGCAGAGAAAGTAGATGTGACACTGTGTTACAAAAATCTGACTGTTGAAATGAGACTGACAGAATTTATCATGGATACCAATGATCTGTGCATTATTAGTAACTATATGTGTGTGTATATATATATATATATATATATATATATACACACACACACATATATATATGAGTGTGTGTGTGTATCCCAAATTTGTGTCTCATTAATCTACTTGAAAGCTTTCTCAGTCTTACAATTTAAACACAAGACATCTCAAGTATTTCTCGAGCAAAAAAATCAGCCATCAATGAACTCCCTTAGAGATAATAAAGACTTAATTAGTGATCATTTATATTTAGTAACCGCTGGGGTAGCACTCTGGTAAAAATCGTACAGAAATGGGGAACAAAAACTTTTTTATATGTCATTCGGTCCCAACTTTAATAGAAGTTTTAATGACATTTTTTGCACTTTAGTTACTTTAAGCTGTGACGTAAGGTTTAAAAATTAAACTTTTAAGAATTAACAGTGGTAGATGGTGACTTAAATGAGTAGGGGTGCTGCAATTCCACACTGCTACACACAATCCTCCACTGGGGATAAATCACTTAATTAAAAAAATTAGCAGAGGGAAATAAATTTAGCTTCAAACGCAGGGCGGGGGGAGCTTTCTATGAACACGCTAAATACCTTAACAATAATGCAGAGAAAGTAGATGTGACACTGTGTTACAAAAATCTGACTGTTGAAATGAGACTGACAGAATTTATCATGGATACCAATGATCTGTGCATTATTAGTAACTATGTGTGTGTGTATGTATATATATATATATATATATATATATATATATATATATACACACACA